GATTCGAACTTGCAACCTCAAACTCTTATATTAAATGTTTCACCAATAAGCTATGACATATTTTATGTACTCTTTGTCAAACAATATTTATATATCTAGTGTTGAAAAGACTTCTCGTATCGATTTTTAGGATTTAGTGGCGATTGTAAATGATACAATTTCTCAAAATTATATAAATGTGTAAAAATAGTGTGGATATGTATTATTATGTTTTCCGTATCGATTGTATATGGGAAAACTATGACGATTGTAAAAATGATACGACATCCTTAGTTATTTCACAAATATACTTGCATATTGTAGCAAATGTACAATCGCTACGAAAAGTGATTTTTCTTGTAGTGAATGAATCGGTACCTCACACAAAAAAAGTTTTAGGGTGTTTGATTCAAGCATAATAAGAATAAGGTATGAGTTTGGAACGACCAAAACCCATATCTTAAACCTCCAAGGTATGAGTTTTTGAAATTCAAAGGAGGGAGGCGGGTATGGCTCATACCCATACCTTTAGATTTAAAATTAAAAGGAAAACTGTCATCCCTAGATCAAAAATTCAAAATCCAAACACATAAAATTAAGGGCTTGTTTGGCATCATTTTTTGTTTTCAATTTTCTGTTTTTTTGAAAACTAAAAACCAAAAACAGGAAACAAGAAAAAGGTGTTTCCACTTTTCTGATGTCAGTTTTTAAAATTACCATGATTTTAATAAGTTTGAATAATTTTTTATTCGTTATGTGACATATATTATATGGTTTTAAAAAACAAAAAACCAAAAAACAGAAAACCAAAGTGATGCCAAACGAACCCTAAGTATCAAGTTCCAACTCCATACCATGCAGGTTACATTCCTTATTTTAAACCCATACCGTTGTTTGAACCAAACGCAAGTATTAAGGAGTATGTCTTACGTACCAAATGGAATCAGCTAGAATCAATTTTCAAAGCTGACTAATGTCATTATTAGGTGAAGATTCTAAAAAATTATTGGATATTAAAATTCTCCTTAAAATTCTCATATTGTTGATGGCTATGACATATTGTTTGTGCCAATGGCTGTCTTAATAATAATGCTACTTGCTAATTAGCTAGCCAGGATTGAAATCAACATGTTAGGTGATGAAAATTGCCATAAAGAATCTATCTTATGATTTTGAATGTTTTTTTTTTTCTTTAAATAATTTTTTTTTATTGGAATATATAAACTTTCACATTGCTTATCTCATAAAGATATAAAGGAATACATACTTTTGTATTTTAAAATTATTTAAAAAGGCAATTAATGATTTAAATGATATTCATAAGAGTCATAACTCATTCTTTTGTGTTTAGAGAGCCACAAGGGCGGGTGATGAGAATCGATTACAGGATCACCTGAGATCGGGAGGGGAGCTCTAACCACTTAAGCTATCCCTCACTTTCTAGTCATAACTCATTCTAACTATTATATTTTATACTTTGCATATCATAGTGTGAAATTCTACTTTATTTAGAGAAAGTATTTCACTAACTTAGTAAGTTAACAGTAGTATGTGAAATCAAACGTACATACTCATAACTCATACTCCTTATTCTTTTTTTGGACGGCAATATTAAAGGGTTTGGTTTAATGTCTTATCTTTGAACACTCTTACATCAATTAGCTAGAATCTTGAAAATTGAGGGAGAAAAGGAATTTTTATTATTTATATTTTTTTTTCTAAAAAGTATGTTAAAGTTTATGGAGTATGGACACATATAAATATGATTGATCACAAAGTCACAACTCACAAGCTTTTACCTAAAGAACAAGACGAGGTTAGTACAAAATCAATGAAAAACAATATTAGTTTTGTCACGATCATTATGCAATTTCAAGAATTAAGTACTCCTTCCCTTCCATAATGATAACATAGTGCATACTTTGATTTTATGTTAAAACTTTAAATATTTAGATTGACATATGCACGTACTAGTTTAATATCATGTTTCACCGAGAATTATTTGGTGTACAAAGAGCTCAACTCCAAACTCAGCAATGTGAACGAGATTTGATAACAAATATGTGTTAAGACCCTCAAATAATTTATCAGCTGTATTCACCCCTTTTTCCCAACATATTATTCCTAAAACAAAATTTTGTTTCACATAGATTTTCAAAACAAACATGAGTACTGAGATCTAAAAGTAGAACACATTCTTATATTATTTTTTTTCCCTTTATTTTGGGCCACTTGAATTCATTACTTTTGTTCTAATTGGGCCATTAAAAGAGAAGTTCAAAGACTCCAGGGTCGGCCCATCCATTTTGGGCCATCTGAAGCAAAGTTCAAAGTCTACAAATACTCTATGTTCTTGTTATGATGGCCAAAAAATTCCCAAAAAAACCCCATTTGAACGTGAATGTTATTTATTTAATTATTATTATTATTATTATTATTATTATTATTATATTTTTTTTTTTGACAACAGATTAAGCTGTTGAACGTGAATTTTTAACAGACTCGACTTTTATAAGATTTTTCGTTCAATGCATATCATTGATCATTATTCATTATATTTTCTGTTATATATAAGTAAATTTAAAAAATACGATCAAATACACCTAACTCTCAATGTACCTAAATACAAAATAGTTTATTTATTTATTTATTTATTTTTTATTTTACAATTATAGTGCACAATTTCCTTTCAACAAATAAAAAAATGTAATCCGTAAGATGATTACTTTGCATAGTTTAATGTAATAATCTTGTTATTATTATGGCATAGCTATAACAACTCTCATATTCATTTTAGTAAGGACAAGTTTTGGAGTCATCCACCTACCTCAATAATCATTTAATCACTCTCAACAAATCATTTTTTTTTTTTTTTTTTTTTATAAGTCTCACCTCAACTACAAGTAAGGCCTTCTTTATTTCACTTTATTTTTACTTATTTCAGAAAAAATAAGTTTATGTCAGATCATATCAGAAAAAATAAGTTTAGATTAGAACATCGTTTTATGTGTGGTTTTTTATCGTTAAATATCTTTAATTTCGTAATGAAAAAAATTGTGAAAATTACATATTAATAAACTACAAATTATTATGAATCTAATAAGATCCCACTTGATGTATTTTTTCTTGTAGATTATCGTACACTTAAGATCAAAGTTTGGTCAAATCAGACAATCAGATCATATCAGACCAGATCAGCAAAAATAAGGTGAACCAAACAAGGCCTAACACGGACAAGATTAGTAAGGAGTACATAATAGTATAATACTAATGAAGGTAGCTAACATGCTAGTATAGATGATACAACTTATTTATATTACGGTTGAACAAGCATACATTGTTGGAGTGTATTGGTTGATCAATCACAAATTTCTTTGTCACAAGTAAATACTAACTCCCCATCGACGTCATTGTAATCGCAAATACATGTTCCGCAACAATACTTACTGTCCTCGCAGAAATAGCATGTTGTATCAGCGAGAGACTTGATGCTAATAATGTTTGAAAGGGGAAGAAGTTGGCGAGCAGACACCGCGGTCTGAGGCGCAGTTAACAGCAGCAGAACAGCAAGCATCACAACAAAACCAACGCAACCATTCTCCTTCTTCATCTCTACTTCTTCGCCGTTTTTTGTGTCGAGTTGTGTGATGGATTAGAGATACAAATGCCTTACATATATGTATATATATAGCTGCAAAAATGGTACTCCGTACATGTTTAATGGCCTTTTGGTGCATACCAATTTCTATACTCATAAACTATGAAAATTAACTATGAAAATTATTGTTTCTTGATATATTTTTTCATTAGGCCGCCAATCGGATTTCTTGTACAGCCAATTAGCCACCAATACTGTGTTGTATATGACAACAGGTCAATTATCACTCTCAACTAATTCAATATATTATAGGCTTAAACAATATATTAATCCTGAATCTGACACTGACATGCTAGCTTACATATACCTCGATGATAAGTACAAAATCTTCCGCGTTGACTTTTAGTTAAGGCTCTGTTTAGTTCACCTTATTTTGCTTATCTGAACTTGTTTGATCTGGTCTGGTATGATCTGATTTTATTTTTCTCTGATCTGATCTGATATGGTCTGATCCTATTGTCTGATTTGACCAAAATTTGACATAAGGAAAAAATATATCAAGTGAGATTTTGTTAGACTTGGTGTTGATAATGTTTGAAAGGGGAAGAAGTTGGCGAGCATACACCGTGGTTTGAGGTGCAGTTAACAGCAGCAGAAAAGCAAGCATCACAACCAACGCAACCATTCTCCTTCTTCATCTCTATTTCTTCACCGTTTTTGTGTCGAGTTGTGTGATGGATTAGAGATACAAATGCCCTACATGTGTATATATAGCTGCAAAAATGGTACATGTTTAATGGCCTCTTGGTGCATACCAAGGGGTACAACTTATTTTATAACAATTTCTATACTCATAAACTATGAACATTATTGCTACTTGATGTATGTATATATATATTAACCTCTTTCTCACGACATCTTATGTTGAGAACTGAACTCTAAAAGGATATAAGTAGAACACATTCACCAATTAATTTAAATTTTACCGAAAAATACGACAATTGAGCATTTCAGTTACGTCGGAATTTACAATTTCAAGTCAGTGAAATTTATCACGACACACTGATTTTGATCAGTTTCGTTTTTCATATTTATTATTTTGTAGTTCTAAAAACACCGTTTTTACAATATTCCGATCTTTAAATGCCAAGTCTTGATCTCCTTGGTGCTCTCTAGTTCTTGTAAAAATGGTGAATATACAAGCTATGAAGCTAAGAACCTGTTCTCATTGACTGAACTCAGTTGAACTAAACTGAAGTGAACTGAACTGAGCTGAACTGAACTGAATATTTTATAAGAGAAGGAAATTAGGAGCTGAACTGAGCTGAGCTGAGCTGAACTGAACTGAGCTAAACTGAACTGAACCGAACTGAATTTTAACGTATGAGAACAGACCCTAAGTATATAATAACAAAATAGACACACATTATAATAAAATCAAACATGGGTACTCGAGTTTGAGCAACACAAAAAAGATCGAATTAGACAACATTTAATTTGGCATTTCCTAGTTGTAACTAGGACAATACATTTATTACATTACACACATATGTTTCCTAAAAAAAAAAAAAAAATGAAACATGTCATCCTCTACAAATATTTAAAATATGTTGATGTGTACGTTGATTAAATGAACATAACAAATATAATCTGGCTAGAGGTCAAGATTTGCAACTCTAACCTCTAAGATTTATTTCAAGCTCCATAAATTTTTAAGGACTCAACGGAGAATAGACAGTATAATGACTAGGAGGGGAGGTAAAGGCGGTAGCTTAGAGTCGAGTATGCATCCCTCCGGAGACCACTAAAGTTTCACCGGTGATGTATGAGGCCTCGTTCGAAGCTAGAAAGGCCGTAGCATCAGCTATATCTTTTGTACTTCCAAATCTTTTAAGTAGAATCCCTTCCTCGAAGATTTGCCTCTACAACGTTACAAGATATTAAAAAAAAAAAGATAGCGTTAAGAAACAACAAAAATGTATATGATATACGAAGTATAAACTAAATTTGAGTTTCAACCGTCAGCTTAAGTTTTACGCTATATCATCAGTATAAAAGCAAGCTGATTGCTTTGTAATACTTACAATTGGGTCGGACTTTGTGATGATTCCTGAGAAATGTGTAGGAACATAGCCTGGGGCAACACAGTTTACGCGAGTATTTGGCGCCATTTCTGCTGCTAGTGCCTAGAAATTGTACATGAACACGTACATGATGAGTGACAGTGGTCGTAATGGTAATGAATTTAAATGTAATTTTATTTGCAGCAAAGAAAAAATCGAGGTACTCTATGACTATCCTTAGAGCCGGATGGATACGTACACATGCATGATCGAAACAATAATTAGTCGTACCTTAGTAAGACCATGAAGGGCTGTCTTGGTGACTCCATACATAGTCATCAAAGGCATAGGCTGATAAGCAGTAATTGAGGAGATAAATATGATGGCTGACTCTTTTGTCAAATGGGGTGCAGCATCCTATCAAACAAATTAAATATAATCATCCATATTTTCCAATAGAAAATTTAATTTACGTGTTACAAGTTTAAATGTCAATATACCCATGTAATGATCTGAACATATGAATACTGCAAAAAATCAAAGCACTCTATACAAAGTTTTGTTTTTGTATTTTTTTTTGTGTGTGTAACACGATGTTTTATATTTGTAACAAAACTTACCTGGAGAAGAAGTATAGGAGCTTTCACATTAACCTCCCATAACTTGTCAAGGGCAGATTCTTGGGTGTTTAAGATCGTGTCCGGTGTTGGATTAACAGCTGCATTTGATACAATCACGTCTATCTTCCCAAATTTCTGCAAACCAATAACAATCCATAATTCAATACGTAATTAATAATTAGACACTAATAATCCAAACTAGTTAAGGTGTTGCATTGCATGCTACTCCCTCTGACTTATTGATACAGTCAAACTTAACATACATACATGCCAATGTACTGATTTGACTTATTGACACAGTCAAACTTAACACACATACACGCCAATGTACTGATTTGACTTTAGATATATACTAGTATGCGCGTTGTATAATTTATTGGTTAGATGTTAGTAAAAAAACAATGGTCAAAGTTAGTATGTGAATAGTAAAAAAAAAGTCAAATGTGTCACTTATATAGGAACAGAAAAGTAGAATGTAAAATGAATAGCATAACCCTCACCAAAACCTGTGATTAATTATTAGCAAAAATGTAATTAATTAACCTGAATAGTTAGGTCTATCATATTTTTCCTCTGTTCTGCATTGGAGACGTGACAAACAACGCCTAAAACGTTAATTCCTTTGCTACTTAGCATCTCTACTGCTTCATCCACATTTTTCTGCAAGAATTTGAACAACAGTACATTAATCAAATATTAATCCAGTCGATAAAGATAGCACAAATTAATTGATACAAACAAATTTTTTTATGCAAGAACAACCAACCTGTTTGCGAGAAGAGATGACAACAGAAGCTCCTTCCATACCAAGGCGTTCAGCAATGCATAAGCCAATACCTTGAGTTGATGCTGTGATTATAGCCACCTTACCAATGTATCTCTTTCCAATCTTTTCCATTTTTCCTTCAATAACTACCCATTTTGTTACATTAATTAGCGAATATATAGAGGGAGTACATACATTTAGCTGGTATGTATGAGTGCATCTCAGCGCATAGTTGCTATGCATTTACAAAGCATATAGGAGGGGAAAAATGTAAATTTGGCAAGCTATTGGAAAAAAGCTGACTCTACAGTGGTACATTATAATGTACCATTATACATGTACAATAAACTATTAAAGTATATGTTGTCTTAATTGTACTTTTTATGTATTATTATGCATGTTGTAGCCTGGTACTTTTTACCATCTATAGGTTGGATATTTTCCCCTTAAATATTTACCACCTGTCACCTATTTATGCATGTAGTGATACAATTTTCCATCCAGCCTATATGTTTGTTAACAAATAGCAGCTATGCGCTAAGGGTTAACCGGCATACATACATCAGCTTATGAGATGAATACACACACATAACATTACATACTCTCTTATATGCCATTATGTAAGATGTACGGACTAATATATAAGGACAAGTTTATCTCGGAAATAAAATAACCTCATGATATGATCAAAGAGAACAATGGAATAGGTGGCTTACCTTAACTTAGTAGCAAGACTCTACAATAGTGTATGTAATTGATTTATTTTTGTTATCTCTACCTTTAATTTTCTCTCTTATTGAAATTATGTCAACTCTTATTTTTAGTCTTTGCTTTTATACTAACACTAACACACTAAAACTTTTACACTTTGTTTTGCTTTCCTTCTATTTTTCTATGAGCGCTCATTTTATATCTGCCTCACTTTGTTTCTCTTCTTTTGTATTTTGACGGTTTGACCCACCAATATGTAATGCTTTGATCCGCAACCAATATGTTCGTTATTTCTGTGGTCCAATACCAAGTAATTAAACAACACAAGTCAAATTTGATTTGAAGAACTACTCGTAATTATTTTAGGAATTCAAAATTGAGGGCGGTATAATTACACATTATATACGGTTTAGGTATCCAGTTTGGTACACATACAATGTCAAGTTAGTTCCAACTTGCGGGCTTCGAATTTATGTGCACTTCACATTTTAATATATGGTCATGAAATTTTTAATGATGATTTAGTGCAACATGAGTTGTATGAAGGTTTATTATGTGAAAGTCCCTCCAATAGTTAAGTCAATAAATGATGTTAGAGAGAATTCATTACTTCATAATCATAAGTGATGTAACAGGCCAGGTTTGTAGTGACATCTATGTAGGCACTTCTACTTATGGCCTTATGGGTAGAGATATCAATTTGGGTGTTTGGATCAGATTCGGTGAGATCGTGTCGAATTGGCTGGTCAATTTTTAAAGTAGAGTTGTGCTAAATTATTGTATCTACGCAATTTGAAATTTAAATCGGATATACTTCGGATAGAATCGGGTGTGATTTTGACACCTTATTAATGGGTTGTACAGATATACTCCCTCTATCCCTATTTTTTTTTAGCCACATTTGGTTATTTACGCTCTTCAAGATGCATCTTTAAATACACATAACTCCATTTTTACATGCGTGAAAAGTTTATAAAACATAATAGCAATAAAATATACCGTAAGACGAATCTATCAAGACCCCAACTTGAGTATAATTTCTTGTATAGATTAATGAAAATTCATGATCAAAGTTTATAAAATTTAATTCAATTAATTGCAATGGGGCAAAAAAATAAAGACAGAGAGTAAGACTTTTGGATTCTTGGACCCCGTATCGACATCTATGTTGGCAAAAACACACCAATTGTACACCTAGCTCTTGGTGTAGGAGAAGGCCGCTCTCACCTTAAGCAGCAAGTGCTAATTTAATGCAGAAAGAATGAGGCTGAAGAAACTTAGGTACAAAATAGATTTATGAACACAATGCACTATTCTGTGATTTGGATGATATCACCTCAGGAAAAAAAAAAAAAAAAAAAAAAATCTAGGATGTACTGAACTGTCTAAACAATCGCTTCTCATCTGCTGTATCCGAATATTTCTGAACAGCCACTCTTGATTTACAGCCCTTGTTAAGATTGTTGGGGAACAAAGACGGTTCTCTCTCATAACATCTCTTGTATTCATAAACCATGCTCTTTTAGACCCTTTATTTAGGTGGCGGAATTCCTAACAGCTCATGTGAGGGAGTTTCTCTGGGGTTACTGTGAGCTCTGATTTCCCCTGGCCTCAATAACTATGACTATTCTAGACGCAAAATCATGAAAGATTACAATAAACATTTGGATTTATTAATCTTGTTTCAAATGCTGAGCAAACAAAAAGGTGAGTTGAAATGTAATTAAAGGCGGGATGGAGTGCCTCCAGCAACCACCAATGTTTCTCCAGTGATATAAGAGGCATCATCAGAAGCAAGAAAGGCAGTTGCAGCTGCCATGTCCTCTGTGGTTCCAAGTCGATTAAGTAGTGCCTTCTCTTCAATAGCTTTCCTCTGACATAATAGTTTCCACATAACATTAGCTACCATTTCAAGGCTGTGTACATTATAAAATTCTGGTGAAAGTGTGTTAGAATGACACTTACAATTGAATCATTGCTTGTGAGGAAATCAGCAAAGCGGGTAGGTACAAAACCAGGGGCAACACAGTTGACACGAGTTTTTGGGGCCATCTCAGCTGCCAATGCCTACTCAAGAACAGGGGAGTATGATATGAATCGTATACTTTGTATTGTGGAAATAAAAAAAGTTATACATACAGAATAAATGGCAACAAGATTGTAGACTTGATACTAGTACCTTTGTAAGTCCAAGAAGAGCTGTTTTTGTCACTCCGTACATAGCCATAGATGATGGAGGTTGATAAGCAGTAATTGATGAGATGAAAACCACTGAAGAGCCGTTGGTCAAATGGGGTGCAGCATCCTAAAAAGAAGATATAAAAGACTATGAGGGTTGGAAGCAGTTGAAGCACAGCAAATGTTTAGTAAAAACTCAGTGATCCAGGGGAGCAGGGAGGGGGGGGGGGGGGGGGGGGGGTGGGGGGACAAATCATTAGAAAACACATTTCAATGAAAAATAATTACTTGGGCTTGTCAATTACTTTCCATTATCCATATGTTGAAAAATAGGTACTTGTCGGAAGACACGCTTGTACACGTAAAACCAAACTGCAGAAAACTGAATAAGTGGCTACTCTTTATGTTAGATGTTATCATGTAATTGTGAGTATGTGACTACCAACATTCAAGAATCGGTGGAATTTGGTTATCCATAGGAAGCAACACTTGAAGAAAAAGGCTGTCTAATCTTATAAAAAGGCACATCAGAAAGAGAATCATAGTGAACAAATTCAAGTAGAAATTGCTTCATTGGGAAGGCCACTACCCCACTTCATATTGCCATGCTTTCGACGATTCCCATTGGCAAATTTTTAATAGAGCAATTGACCTTTTTTGAAGGAGGGTAAAGGAATTGGGAAAATTTGTAGCACTAGATATTTTGAAAAAGTGATGCAGAGAGCAAAGAATATGGCAGAAACTTAAGCCTCCTCAGAAGAGACAATTAAGTTAAGTCACATTTGCTAGAACAGTATCGGATTTTCAATTAAACCCATGAGTATTAGAGAAAAACAGATATACCACAACTATATAAAGAGTGGATATAAAGAGTGGATTTTTAATTTTATGACTTGTGAGATGTTTTGATAACTAGAGAACTAATTTCAGATAGAGGGAGCAATATACTACTCCAGCTTCTTACAGAAATTACCTTGAGAAGGAGTATAGAAGCTTTGACATTGATTTCCCATAACTTTTCTAGGACAGATTCTGGTACATCTAAAATCGGATCCACAGTAGGATTAGCTGCTGCATTAGATACAACCACGTCAATTTTCCCGTATTTCTGCAAGCAAGAAAGCACTTTCTGTGAGCACAATAGGAAAGCAGTTTACAAAGAAACAACAACAAATACATTCTGTAGTATAAAAATATAAGTTATTCCTAGTATATTCTTATAAGCGAGCAGGTCACTCCTTATAAAAACTTGTACCATTAGAGATTAGAGAACATGGAAATGGTAAAAGAATAACTTCAGGATAAGTTCCCTAGTTCATTTTCAAGCTAAGATTCCGAGAATTTCACTATCTATCTATTTCAATTGCACTACATTATCTCACAGTCGGCCAGTCGGGGTTACATTTTGGGGTACCAAAGACACACAACACACATTCATCAATCTCAAACAACATTTCAGGATCAAATAGGTATGGACTATTTGATTTAGATGCACTAAATTACCAAAATACTTTATAAAATATCAGCAAAATCCATCATAGTGCATAATCAACACACATGATTCAATCTATAAATAATAATAAAAGAAAACCATAAAATCAAAGTAAACATAGAAATCATCAGAAAAAGAAAAAAAAGTACAAAATCAAGGTGATAAAAAGGGCACCTTTATCGTCTCATCTATCAAATTCTTCCTTTGTTGAACATTTGAGACATGGCATGCAACACCGAAAACATCAATCCCTTTACCCTTTAGCTTCTCAACTGCTTCATCCACATTTTTCTGCAACAACCCAAATCAAATCAAATGATCCCACTTAACTAAATCATCAAATTTGATCAAAACCAGATATATTTAAAAGACAAACTTACACTATAAACCAATTTCGGGAAGCTCAAATCAAAATCAAATAAACCCATTTACAACTTCAAGCTAAAATAATCAAGAACTACAAAATTAGTTTAAATTCATCAAATTTAATATACCCAGATGAAATTCAAAGACAAAACTCCACAATAAAACTAAAATTATCAAATTTTCATACCTAAATCAAAAATCAAACGAACCCACTTTCAATTTCAAGCTAAAAAAACCCCAAGAACTACAGAATTTGGCATAAATTCAGCAAAATTGATTAGACCCAGATGAAATTAAGAGACAAATATCCACAAAAAATATCAAAATTCAAACCCAAATCAAAATCAAACGATTCCAAGATCAATTCCAATTAAAAATTGGAGAGAATTGAGTAACCTGTTTACGAGAAGAAATAACAACAGAAGCTCCTTCTAAGCCGAGTCGTTCAGCGATGCTAAATCCAATTCCTTGAGTAGAAGCTGTAACAATGGCTACCTTTCTTGTGAATCTTTTGGCAAAAATCACCATTGTATCTGTATCTTTAAAGTTTGGTGGTCGATCAGAAATTGGGAAATTTGCTCTGTGAATCAAAAGGGGTCTTTTAATTTCTTCAATTAATGTTGAAAGCCCTATTCTATTTTGTGGTGGACCCCGTTGAGCCATCGTAGCTAATTTGATGATCACTCAACAATTCTTAGCTTTAATCAAATTAAGGAGCTTTTCTCCTTCAATTTTCGTTTTCCCACCCTTCAACTTTTTGTATTGATAATTTTTTTTGTGAGGAATCTTGTTTTGATAATTTGATAATCACTATGATTTATTTATTTATTTATTTTGAAAGGATTATTTATTTTATTTTAGGTCACAACTCACAAGTAGCATTTTTTTTGTTTTGTTATTATTTCATAAAACATGTCCTACTATATATGGCACTACCTACCATAATAAGGTATTATCTTATAATTGTTAGTAGACTAATAAGTATTCAATTTACGAATTATTATTATTATTGATTATTATTAGGTAAAAAGTGGAAAGAGAAATAATATTTTTTAAAAAAAATAAATAAATTTTGAGTATGTCTATCCATATATGTCATATGTGGGAAAGATGGAGTCATTATTGCAAGATTAACAAAATAAAAAAAAGTTAAAGGGATTGCGAAAATTTCGATTGATCTTTCCAATATGTTGAATTTTTCTAATCACTAATTGTATCCAAAGGAGTAATGCTATCAAAGAAATTGATACATGAAACTTTGTATATATAGTGAAATTAATTAATAATGCAAATTACGTAAAATATAAGAAAATAATAAAGATTGGATTGAAAACAATTAACCAGTGTGGTCAAGGTCAACGAACTATTATAGGGACTAAGTTTGGCAACCCTTGTTGTTCACATGAATCAGTCAATAATCAAATAGAAGACTAAATCATTGATTAAAAAAAATGAATCTGAAATACACTTGAATATACAACAATCTATAATTATATCATTACAATCTACTGCTAACATTGTCTTGAACATAACACACTACATCATATACTACCTCCGGTCTAAATTACTCGCAACTTTAGGATATTATTTGTGAGATATAAAATATTCAAAAATTGCGAGTAATTTGGAACGGAGGTAGTAGTAATATCTAGCAAAATATCACTCTGTAATACTTAAAGGTTCTATGACATCAGCTTTATCTACACATTCTGCAAGAAATTGAACAACTGATTCCATTGTTGGTCTTTTATTCCTGTCATCCTCAACACATAAAAGCCCTATTTCAATCATTTTAGCAGCTTGATTCTTGTTGAATTTCCCTTCCAATCTGGGATCCACAAAGTCCATCATCCACGACTCGTCGTCCTCATCTCCTTCTTGCATCTTTCTCTTCATTGATCTCGCAAAAGTCTTTAGTTCCGGTGTCTCTTCATCATCATGATCATAGCCTGTCATACAGCTCGACATTCGAATACCTCGTACGAGCTCTAGGATCACCACTCCGTAGCTGTAAACATCGACTTTTGCTGTAAGAGGAAGGTTTGTTGTCCATTCAGGAGCCATATAACCTTTTGTGCCTCGGATTTTAGACAATTCGGACAAACCATCACCACCGCGTTGACACAACTTTGCTAGGCCAAAGTCCGAGATCTTAGGCTCAAACTCGGTGTCTAAGAGTATGTTTTCGGGCTTGACATCACAATGGATTACCCATTCGAGGCACTCATGATGAAGGTATGCCAAGCCTTTCGCCGTGCCTAAGGCAATTTTGAACCTTCTATCCCATTTTAGGAGGAAATCGTTGGTGGAAGAGAACAAATGTATTTTAGGAGGAAATCGTTGGTGGAAGAGAACAAATGTTTGTCTAGGGATCCATTTTCGACGTACTCATAGACTAATAGTCTGTTTTTCCCTTGAGAACAAAATCCCCACATTCGAGCTAAGTTCATATGGTTGATCCTACCAAATGTGCTTACTTCAGCCCAAAATTCTTCCTCTCCTTGGACGATGTTCTCTAATTTCTTCACGGCTACAACTCGAGCATCGGTCAAAACACCCTTGTAAACAGCTCCAAGTCCTCCTCTTCCTAGAACTTGCTTGAACTTGTTTGTTGCCTTTTTGAGCTCGTTATAGCTAAAGCTCCTAAATTGACTCGAAATAGTCCGATACCCTTCCTCCAAAGAAGCCGAAATTCCATGTTTCCTAAATAGAAAACACCAACTTGCAACAAGTATTATCATCTCAATTACTCCAATCACCCCTAAAAATGAGTACACATACACCCACCTAAAGTTGTGCTTCGACAAATCATAGTACGTATTAGGCAATGGTACTATCCTCGGCCCCTTACCTCCACACTCCAATCGCGATGCATTAAGGACAACTTTGGGCTCTAATAATGGTTGTGACCTTATTGGCATCCTTATATGCAAGCTATCTTTGGCACGTAATCCATTGAAAAGAGCTCCTTTTGTTAAACACCTCATTGTCCCCTTAAAAATATATTTAAAAGCTTGACAACGGTAGTCCCTTAGACAAAGATTTTTACATTTTATGTAAGTAACGTTTTCTGTAGCATTAAGATCGAAGCCATAGTAATCGACATTGGGTACCTCGACGAAATGAGAGTCGTGACTACTCCTATCGAATTTAGGCCTACACCCTTTGCTCCAATCCCTCGAACTTATGGGCTCGAAATGAGGTGGACATGAACATTTTGGTTGAGGTGTATAAATACAAATACCATTCCTACCACATAGACCATGGATGTTACATTGTTTGACAATAGCTTGCCATGTTACAAACCATAAACCCGACGATGTGTTCAAGCTATATAGCCTCAAGTTCCCATCATAATCCATTGTTAACCTTCTTTTAACCCCTAAACCCAAATCCGTAGCACTAAATTTAAGCATATCACTAGAAACAAAGGTGCCTTCATCATTAAAACTTGCAACCCTAGTGCTATTGTAATTTGTTCTACCATTTTTAAAAACATTAAAATCAGGACTAGGCCAATATAAGCTAGAAATTTCAGGACCATCATATGTCATTTTTAAGGAATTGTCATTATCAAATAAGAAACTATAATATCCAGAAGAAAACTGACAAATTATTTATGAGAGAATAGCTTTAATTGTATTGATGATCTTGGTTAATATTTATAGCCTACATAAGATAACCTACACAATATAAACTCAATCATATAAACTTCCATAAATCTATCTTAGAATATCACTAAGATATATTATTATCCTAAATATAATATCATAAGATATATATGGAAAATATATCACAATAATATATTTTCCTATATTCCCAACAAAAACTCTTAGAGTGAAATTCGAGATACCAATTTTTTGTTCTTAGTAAAAGGTTGAGTAGGGAGCAAAGTATCAGTAGGAAAATCAAAGCTTTGCCAAGAGATTTTACCACTTTTGTCCCTAAGGACAAGGTTCCCGGAGTCAAGTAGCTCGGCTCGATTAACGTTTATTGAGGAAGTGTTTGTTTCCCATACGTTTGAGCCATCAAGATCAGTCAAGACCAAGGCATCATCTTTCCTTAGGGTGATTCTCGAGCCTCGGCCATTGACGGGTTTATCTCGATTAGCCGTCCAAACAACGGTTTTTTCATTTGAGTTGGTGTACCAAATTGAGAAATAATAGGCATGGGTGGTTTTATTGAAAGTGTAGAAGCCACAAGTGAAGGTTTTGTCAGGGGAAATAAGGAAGCTCGAAACCGCGTTTTCCACGTCTAAGGAAGAGCCCTTAGGAAGAAGGTTTGAGCTAGAAGATGATAATGCTAAAACAAAGAAAAATGAGCTAAGAAAAAGGAAGAAGAAGAAGAGGGTTTGGATTGTCATAGTGATTAATAATAATAAGTACGTACGTTATAGTATAAATAATTGTTGCATGTTAATATTTTATGTTACAATTTATAAGGAATTAGGAGGGGTAGTGAATTAGGGAGGATTTCAAGAATTGACTACTTAAACTAGCTTAGCTAGTTATCATCGTGGTCCATACTCAAGGCTAAAATTAGGTACGGATGTCAAAGAAATGATACATGTAACATGCATTAGACGTATATGATGGATCTGGCATGCATAGGCGTTCTCTAATTGATTTATCGATACTCCTTTTGTCCCCTAAAATTTGACTTATTATTGTTTTCGAGTTAAGTTTTAAACACATATATGTCTAATTTCAAATTTTTAAAAAAATGAAAAACTAATGTCATGAAAGTAGTAGATATTAGTATGCATAATGAATTAGAGACACTAATATGCAGAAATGGTACATATGAAGTATATTATTATTTTCCACCTTTATTTTCTCATTATTTCACTAACTTTCATAGGACTATTGGAGTATAAATTTATCATTAGCTTATACTATTTTTATTATTTATTAAGCTGATTTGAGGTTGGACACAATACTAATCATACATATTGCATATGTAATCATTAATTAATCATCATCAAAAAGGTTAATGTAAATTGTTGCATTTTTTACCCCAAAATGTCATCCGTAAGACATTGCAATAATTTTTATACCAATCTGACTACATACTATTTGTCCTTGTTATTGCACATGAGAAGTTATGACACAACCAATTCAATAGCTATAAATTTTGTCATAAAGTAGATAGATAGATAATTAAATACGTTCTATAAGTTTAATGTCAATCATAGTACAATAATTGGGAAAGTCTTGAGTTTCATTGAAAGTGTATGTAGAAGCAATAACAAGCTAAGTGATGAAGGATTCATCAAGGAAAATGAGAATGTTTGCAACCGCTGTTTTGGACGTAAGAATTGAAGAAGTAAGATCAGGGGTTGGATTTTCATGGCTAGAGACGTTATTTAGTTCTAATAAGTAAATTAGTGAATTAATAATACATACTTTGCCTGATTTGAGTATACATTGTTGCATGTTATTGCATAATAATAGCAAAAAAACTTTTGTATATACCCGGTTTACAGTAATATTAGTGTACATCGAGCAGTATAAGGGTAGCTTTTAGCTAATTTTAGGGTAACATTTTGCCTTTTTTTGGATAATTTTAAACATAATACAATTTTTATATAAATAGACAACAAGAAAATATTTGTAAAGATAATTTAATTATATTCAATCACTAATAATTGATTTTTAGTCATTTAAAATGTGAAATTTTACTAATAAAGCGTAGATAATTTTTATTTGTATTAAGTTACTTTTTTGCATATCGGGGCAACTTTTATTCATTTTAGAGGTAACTTTTGTTCATTTTAGAATAACATTTTAACTTGTACATCCGATTTTTTTTTTAAAAGTTTGTCAATAATAGCTAGTATGTGAAGCATTGACTACGTTACTTAAGTTGTGAAATGTATGCACCGCGTGGTCTGGACTCACTTCTCTAGAAAGTGTAGGTACGTAGTTATGTATCTCATTACCTCTAAGCCCTAATTTAAAGAAGGTGTGGTAGACAAGTCATGTTTAATAGATAATGAAGGGGTGGTTATGTTGAGAATTTTGAATAAATTTAAAGTTATTTGCCATACTTAAAATCAAAATAAAAAGTACGTACATCTAATGTTATCAATTGTTGAGAAGAATGGAGTAACACGACCAATAAGTAGACTTAAATTAAACTCATCCATCCCTTCTCTTTCTAATTTACTTAATTAACCTAGCTCTTTAAAATGACCACGATATGGTGTAATTGAAGGCTTACTACTTGAAGCATAGGATAGTATATATGCTCAGCTCTTGCCAGCAATGGCGCATGATGCAAGTACGTAGTACAGGGATCAAACGAGTGTACTTAGTGTGAACTCTCCTACTCTTTAAAGACAATACTCTTTATTATTTGGAAATTGATTTTAATACACCATTAATTGATTTTGGCACCCCCTTATATAAGAGAGTATAGAAAACTGTACTCTCACATATAAAGGTGTGCTAAAATCATTTGTGGTGTGCGTGCCAAAATCATTTCCCATATTATCTATTGGAAAACTTGTTGTATATGTAGCTTTGCACCAGGATGCATATGTATTGTTTTTCAAATTTAGGATTTTTTTTTTTCTTTCCTTCTCTTCTACATATACTAGTCATTTACACAAAAAGGGTAAAGAAAAGACCTGATTTTTCCAAGGCTTTTACAGTATGTACATGAGAAGTTAAGGCATCAACATCGCAATCAATTAATTTGGTCATAAAATGTATTGTATATGGATTGTTGCATACGGAGTAATGTTATAGGTCAATCAGAGTACATTAGTTCAGTATTTTGCTTCAAGTAAAAAACTGTAAAACCGCGGATACTCTATTACTTGCATCATGAATGTTGATAATAAGCTAGCAGGTAAATGACAATTATTGACTGATTCAAATATAATATTGAGCTTGACTTGGTAGAAAAGGGTGTAATGATTACTTTTACGGATGCTTCACGCCTTCAGCTTTAACCATTAGACCAAGATCTCATTGTTAAATACACTTTATCACATTGACTACATGCTACGGAGTATATACCAAGAATAAATTTGCTACTCGTAATTGCATAGAAAGGCCTAAAATCAGTTGAGTAATTTTCTACACCCTAAACAAGACTTTGAAAAGTCTATATAGAATACGTATAGAACAGGCCCTGTAGTCCCATCAATTACTTCTTGCTATGCCTTATTCAACACTCCCTTCACTCCTTGTCAAAAAAAAAAAAAAAAAAATAAAAAAAAAAATAAAAAAATAAAGAGGAAAAAAAATAAAGAGGAAAAAAAAAATAATCTTTGACTCTTTTTAATTTACCCCATTAAGATTTTGTTAAAATTTTAAAGTTTCAAATTACTTCAAATAGGTTTTAAGTTAGTAAAGTTACTCTAAGACTGATTAATGTATGCCTTAAACCTATTACCATAAAATGTCTAGGTGTACACAAAATATTTTAAGGAATAAGGAGAGCACTATATTATCCGAAAATATAATCAATCAATATAAGCATCGTAATTGTTATAGGCCTTTTAATTATTGTTTAACTATACTAAAGTACATAATATACTACTCCGTATCTTGTAATTAAGATCCATTTGGCCTAAACAATAGTTTATCCATGTTAAACAAATTTTTAAAAGATAATTTTTACTTCTTATAGCTAGCTCATATAATTATGTTTACATTCGAGGCATTACTCACCCCGTTATCTAATCCCCAAACTCCAATTCCAACATACTAATCTAGTCGTCGCACATTCAAGGTTCATACACAAATTATTTTTTAGTCAATGAAGTCAATCCTCAACTCTTTCCCTCAACCAAAGAATATCAATCTCCACAGTTGCCTATAAAACAAAATAACACAATCTCATCCTATCATCTCATTAATTCCTCATTTTCCTAATTACCATTATATTCCATTAAAATGTCATTCTCTTTTTTCATTTTCATAATAATTCCTCTGCTTTCATTTTCCTCTGTTCAATCTATCTCCTCATTCTCCATCTCAAATTCCCCATGGCATCCTTCTCAGAATCAAACACTTCTCTCCCCAAGCTCGGCTTTCGCAGCCGGCTTTCGACATTTCCCGGGTTCTTCCAACCTGTATACATTCTCAATTTGGTACCACAACATATCTGATCAAACCATAGTTTGGTCTGCCAACCGGGGTATCCCTGTTCAAGCAACGGCTTCCTTGATCATCACTTCTAATGGTCAGCTTCGGCTAACCAACGGCTCTTCTAGGCCCACAATATGGTCAACCCCAACTTCGGTGAACTCGAACTCCACCGGATTGTTTCTCAGGGATGATGGGAATTTGGTGTTTGGTTCTTGGCAGAGTTTTGATTACCCAACTGATACTTTTCTTCCTAATCAAACGTTAACAAATACAAGTATTGTTTTAAAATCTAAAAATGGGAAGTTTAGTCTTACCGGGTTGAAAAACTTGGTTTTCAATGGGTCGGATACTTATTTGTCTCTTCCAAATCGGCTTGTGAGTTTCGGGTTAGATGGGCGGGTTGAAACGGATGGAAACCCGATTTATTCGGCGGATTTTGGGAAGAATCGAATTCGGATGCTCACATTGGGAAATGATGGGAACCTTCGGATCCTTACCTTTAACCCGCATAAGGGGATATGGATCCTTGTTTGGGAGGCATTGCTAGAGATTTGTCAAGTACACGGTTTATGTGGAACGGGTTATATTTGTTATAGTGATGGGTCAACTTTATCGGGTTACGAATGTGTATGCCCACCCGGGTATATGAGAAGCCCTACTTCGGACTCGTGTGTGATCAAGACTCCCAACCTTGATCTTGAGAGAAGCAAATTTTTGCGTCTTGATTATGTTAACTACTCAGGTGGGTCGAATCAAACAAATTTAATGATATTTAGCTTTGCTAATTGTTCTTCCATGTGTTTAGAGAATCACAAATGCCTCGGGTTTGGGTTTAAGTATGATGGGTCGGGATATTGCGTACTCCAACTTGACAAGTTATTGAATGGCTATTGGTCCCCTAATACAGAAATGTCCTTTTACCTTAGGGTGTCCAACTCCGAACCCGATAAAAGTAATTTTACGGGTATGTCGGAGTTACTCAACACCACGTGCCCGACCCTTATTAGTTTACCGAACCCGTCTACAGAGTCCAACAACACAACTTTGAATATCATAATTGTAAGTATCATTTTCACTTTTGAGATTGCTAGTGGAGTGCTCTTATTTTGGGCCTTTTTGAAGAGGTATGTGAAGTATAGAGATATGGCCCAAACACTTGGGCTTGGGCTACTTCCAACAACTGGGCCCAAAAGGTTTACTTATGCTGAGATTAAATCAGCAACAAAAGATTTCTCTGAGGAAAATGTTATAGGAAATGGTGCCTTTAGTGATGTTTACATGGGGAAGTTGCAAGATGGTCGTCCGGTGGCTGTTAAGTGCTTGAAAAATGTCACCGTGGCGATTCGGAGTTTTGGGCCGAGGTGAC